GCCATTCGGCCCATCGAGCTCGCTTGGGGAGAACTTAACTAATAGCTCAGAGTTGTTAAAATCTTATCTAGCTCTGATTTAAAGGAACCTACTCGTGAGACTACTCGTCTGTTACGGACTGCTTGGATGGAGACTCACCGGCTATACGTTGCATCTTCATGCGCCGGGCTTGGATGCGGCCCTTGGCCAGCCGCTGCTTGGCTATGATGCAGCGGATGTGGTCGGCGAACACGAAGCTGGCCTGCAGGATGGGGAATGGCTTAGCATGCGGGTTGGACGTGGGCTTGTGGATAGTGATGTTCAGGGCTCTGCTGTCGTCCTCAACGCCGGACACCTGCATGTCCTACAGGTGGGGGAGGGGGGGGGGCAGATGTGGAGATGTCATTGACTTCAGAGCAGACGAAGAAGCAGAAAAGGAAAAAATGCACATACATTTTTTAAAAAGTTAAAATTTTGTATGGCATGGAGTTAAACCTCAGAAGCTGATTTAAAGAGCCCACCCACCCGGGCCTGGCGGGGGCAGAGCCCAGTACCTGAAGCAGGCCCGCGAACTTGACCACGCCCCACCCGAGGCGTTTGCTGTCCGGTTCCACCAGGCTCATCTGGTACACATCAACGGCCAGGAAGCGCTGGGCCTGTCCACCGTCCTTCGTTACTACCATGCAAGCGATGAGGTCGCTGTTGTCTAAATGTGAGGCGAGGCATTGGGTGGGGCGATGGGTGGAATAGGGGTGGGGCAGGAGAGAAAAGTGTCAATGTAGGGTGGGGGGGGGCGACGCACATGTACTGCACGGCATTGGAAGATCAGAACAAATCTATAGATGCGTCACACAAAAACTTACAAGGAAAGAACACACAGAAAGATCGTGTCAGATCTTCAGACAAAATAAGACTAATCACCCAGGTTACAGCATATGCGTTTCCAAACATTATCTAACTAGATCGAGGGCAAGATAAATCGCGCCTTATCTAATCTGGAATCATAATAATGTGCCACCGCCTCACCCAGACGAGCTCCCCCGCTATCTGCGAAGTGGTATAACCCAGAACCAGGGACCCTAGCAATGAGCGAGGGTGTCTAACAGCAAGGAGGCCAGTGACACTGGGTGTAGGGAGGTTCAGAAACACGCGCGGTGTTGATGCCAGGTCATAGCCAACAGCACAGCGGGAGTTTTCAAAAGAATCCTCTGAGTCATCGTCCACCAGGCAGGTTTTAGACAGCCGGGGGTGATGTTCTGAGAGTTGACTGGAGGTCGCTGAGCACTTTGCCCCACGGGGCAGCACTGCGGCACCCCTCCCTACGCGGCCAGGGTGAGAGCGGAGCGTGACTGCGGCGGAATCGCGCTTCGCTGGAATTCACAGGGCACAGAAGCCCGTGTCTGTGTCACAGAGGTGCGGTGATGATGACGTTAATGAGTCAGCTGAGAAGTCAAGGCTAAGGACATGAGCGTCTGCAGTGCATGCAGGCACCTCAAAGCGGCAGCCAGAAGTACACATGTTATTCACTATTTGTGTCATTTGTGTCTTTGATAGCAGAGGAGCTGCTCTCTCTCTCCCCCTCAGCCTGCGTCCAGCTCCGCTTCCCACCAACCCGGTTTCCGAAAATCAGCAGCTTCTTTGGGATCGGTGCCCTGGAGACGTCCGCAGACCCAGACGCATGGGGGGGTGGGGGGCTGTGGAACCCTAGGCGTGTGTGGCT